AACTAGTTTCCCAGGATGGACCACCGTTTAACCCATATTTCTCATAAAATAAAATAATAATAAATGATCTAGTAAACATTTACTCATTAAATAAAAATATCATATTGATCATTTTTTTTTTGTGCAAAACCTTTTAACATGATTACTTACAACCGTTTTCTTTCTTTTTATACATTTTTTTTCTGTAGAATCTATATCCATTTTCTTCCACTTTTACCCGATCAATCAATATAAGTGTCAAGTTAGCATTATCAACTTTCTCAATTTCATCAATCAATTCAATTTAGTGCACGTTTTAAAACAATTGCAAACAAGCAGTAAGTGGATATACACTAATCAGTTTATTTTTTTCCCCCACAATTTCATTATTTCCTTTAAGCTTTCTTCATTAGTGCAGGAAACATGGCGCTAAAAAAGCATACGAAAAAAAAAAAACAAAGTTCTAATTAAAACCGGGAACATTTCTAAAACAAAAATAATTTCCGACCTAATTAAGTAACATCATCCTCGCTTCATATCCTCATCATTACCATTATTTATGTAGATGTTGTATTCGAGTATATTATTACACGTATGTAGTTTTTTTTTTGTACATTCTCAAAAATTGTACTGCAATGTTTGAAACTGGACTAAAAACAATACAGTTCAGTTAGTTATTTCAATTTTTGATTCATTCTATAAAAAAAATATACGCTAGGGAACAATAAAATGTAGATAAAAACGAAAATGTGAATTGCGTTCACAAAATTGTTTACATAAAAATGAAACATATCTGAGTAAACTTTAATTATTTGCATATCGCGTTTCATACCAATATTTCCCATTTTATATAATATATTTTATTATTACATAAAATAGAACTAATTCTATAATTTTGCGTTGTTAATAGTAATGAGAACAATTCAATCTGCAAGGATTATGCGAGATGCAAGAAAATGAAAATTGATCGTCGCAGTTAATCTTATCAGACGATGCGAACGAGCCCCATTGCAACGTCGGTCTCTCGAATCTGGGTTACTCAATCCATTTAACAAGTATAATCAAAATCATCGCTTAAATTTATTTCTTTTAAAGATTATTTCTTTTTACGTTCAAAATGAAGATACTTGAGACAAATTGACTGCAGTTAATTGTACATTCTTTTTATTATCATTTTAGCTGTATGCAACACAAATGTCATTTTAAAGATGAAAGTTTAAGCTTTCCAAAGCACCCTTCGAGCTTCAAAGTTTTAAGGTCAACGCCATCGTTATTGAAAATTATCGATAGCCCCTATAGCAGCGGTTTCCAAACTTTATGCTACTACGCCTCCCCGAAAACAATTTTTTTTTTCCGCGCCTCCCTTACCTTTTATTGTTATAATAGATTAAATAATATAGACACGTTTTATTTATTTGAAGATGTTATGGCATCAAAATTAATTTATTAAAAATTTTTGGCAAGAGTCCGCGCCCTGGGAGGCGCGGGTCCAAGAGGACAAAAAGTTTTCAAACCCATCGAGCGTCTGCGTAATCGATATATAAACAGTAAAAATATTTACAGCAATAATAAAAGTTTCGTTTTCAATCAAATTGAATTGAAGATTAAATCAAAAATTGTATCGAAACGAATCGATCGAGTTATTTGCACTCAATTTCGTTTGATTGACGGCTGCACATGAATAACGCAGAAATGTAACATCCAAATGGTCACGTCGATATGACAGGCCCTATATGACGTATATGACTTACACATTCGAAATGCGACGCAAATCAAAAATCGGATTTGTTCATAATTGGATTTGTTTCAAATTTCCATTCAAAATTGACTACCGTACTATACAGATTTTGATTTAACATAAAGTGAACTTGAAAGACTTACATATTAATATTTAGGTGGTACTATCTAAAATTCTACTTAGTATGCTGTGAAAACAAAAATGAATAAAAAGAGCAACGCAAGGTTATATGAGATGTGTATGTGTGCCTTTACAAGCAAATATTAGATGAGGACGCGCTCGACTTGTGGTAGAAAGTTTGCTCAAGAATCTAAAGTGACGATTAGTGGTGTCTGTGTTGGTTTGGGACAGAATAATGTTGATATTTCGATTTTTGCTGTTTCGGAAAAGGCGATTTCATATGGGTCTATATCGAAATCCCGACAACCGAAATTTCGACATTCGGATTTCGATCCGCACCGTTTCTTATATATTTGTGCGGATTCACGGTTGGATTTTTTCATTTTTCTAAAGTCAAGATTGACAAGTCATTATTCTTCCAACTACAATAAAGCATCAGCACAAGTTCATTAGAAATTAGCGCAGTGGGTCGAGTAGAAACATCCTTTGGTGAAATGGCACTTGCAGATTCGTTCAAAACAATGATAGAAAAGCAACAGTGTGAATTTTATTTTATGAAAACTTATTTGTTTGCAGAAATCAAGTGTATAATTAAAAAAAAAATGAAATTTGTATTATGCATTTAAAATACTCGAGAGACTAATTAAACTTTTTCTGACATTTTTATGAAGTCTCCACTCTTGATTGCAGAAATCCTCGTTAGATTAGTTAATTGATTCTGTCAAATAAATGCACGTAATGCCACAACAAGGCGCCGGGTGGGTATCAAGCAAACTACCCTTAGGCCTTTAATGTTTGCAATTAAATTGTTTTCCAATCGATATTTAATCACCACTTTACGTATAATTACATTCCGGAAGTAGAAAAACAAGAGTTTAATTCCTGAACTAATATACTATTCTTATTAAACAAGTGAATTTTGAGAGTTTTACATTTTGTTTTTTAATACATTAACTACCCTGAAAAAAAGAAAAATCACTGAAATATGAAAATGTTTTGCACTTTTTATTAACGCTGTTAAAGCGGAAACTATAAACTTCGAATCGCTACTAAATTTCAAGCTATGTTGACTTTGGATCAAAGCGATTCTGATGATTGCAAACATTGATTCGAGTTGATTCGTGCACATGAGAATAATTAAACAACTAGGGAAAATAAATCACACATATTCGTTCGGAAATTCTTTAAAAAAAAAACACAGAAATATACCTCTCGAAAGTGCGGCTTCGATCAGTCCGAATTCACTTTCAAAATTTCACACAACAAAAATTTAATGAATCAACTCTATTTTTTCTTTCACCAAAATTAATACCAAGAAAAAACAATGATGAAAATTAATAATTTATTTAAATTCTTGAATTACTTATTGCCGAATAGTTAAGTTCGTATCCTGGTCAAGCTAGGCCCTTTGTGAGCCCTCTCGGTGCTTGTAGAAATAGGGCCATCGTTCATCACAGATGAACAGTCAAATGAATGAGGTTCAGCATATGGACCTTCAGCCAAGTCGATGGACAATGACACTGTTCATCATAATGGTAACTATCCACCGGGAAATATTGTCCATTTAATGTCAACCGCGATCTTAAATTTACTAATTGTTTACATTGATGAACAGATTGTAAATAAAATTATATGACATAGAAAAAAATCTTGAATTGTTCCCGAAATATTCCAGGTTCCAAGCAAATTGCAAACGTCACATTTCTATTAACACTATTTAAAATTGCATTAATTGTTTTACCAACAATTCTAAATATACTCGGTCCTCTTTTTTTGTGTACTCTTTTTATGCGGTTTTTATTTCAAGAAGCATTTTTTCTAAATAACTATTTTAGGCCATTTTGACACGTTTTGACACAAATTGGCAAACCATTTCATCGAAAAAGATGATAATTCTGAACGAGCATTCAAGTTTCAACGCGAGCTTCAGAATTGCATTTCTGGATATCAGGGATTGTACAAAAAAATAGCAAAGCCATCGCAAAGTTTAATCACTGATTATATTGTCAAACAACATGCGAAGTTGAGACTAATTTTACTTGTGAAGAATCATTATCTTCAGGACATAGATCTGATATGCTGACTATCTCTTCTAGTGATGAAAGTGATTTCGAACCAGTTCGCAAATTATGCCGAACACTCTCATATAGCGACGATAATTCTAAAGAAAGATTAACTTTCATAAAAAAAATCTGTATTTTTTTTTTGTAAATTTTTTCCGTATAAATTTAGAAGGAATATGTTAAGATTATATTTTTGAAATTTAATAAACTTGTCTATGATTGTTAACGTTTTTATAAAATTATGAATAAACATTTCAGAAAGAATATAGTAAGACTAATTATTTTTTCTGAAATTTAATAAACCCAAAAGGGTTATGCGATTTTCGGTATATTATAACTCATTGATTTAGTTTTATGCGGTTTTAAAAAAATATGGAACGTATCCTTTATTTTTATACGTGTGTCTAGTCCTTTTTTGTGCGATTTATTTTTATGCGTTTTCCTGTGGAACGTATCTACCCCATAGAAAGAGAACCAAGTGTACAGTGAACTTCAAGAATATCAAAAATTAATAATTTACGGGCGTACAAATACAAAGAAGTAGATCAAATGATTTATTTATTCTCGAATTGTTCACGAAATTGCACATTCCCATCAGATATTGATTGATGTGGGCAAATAAAGGACGGTGTGTTTCCTCCTTTTCCGATAAGAAAACAAATCCCATTTCCGTTGACGCCCCGGAATATTTATGAAAATTCCATACAAATCCTATATTATACAAAAAAAAAAAATACAATCCATATATTGGAGAATTCTATGAATCGAATATGATTTCCGCCGGGGCAAAAGTGAAAGAAAATATTATAAAAAGGGTTCAAATATCAGCAGTATGTTTTCATTCAATATTGGAATTTTCATTACTTTTTACGTAGGAAATTGCGTGGATCATCATATGTTTTTAGCGGAAACGGAAGTTGTTGAAAAACGAAGGTAAGTGTATCTTTGTTCCACTCGACCGGAAGCACAATGCATCATCCGTTGACTAGAAGAGGGACGGAAAACGGAGATGTGGCAAAAGGGGTTGTTTTAGAATTTAGGGGATGCGCGCTCGACGCCCGCCAGTTCGACGCCGCCGTCCCGACGCCGAACATCGCCGCTCTCGTCTCTCCCGAAACACAGTATGAGAAACACGAAGTAACAGAAAGAAAGAAAAAGTTGCGAAGTTTCAGCAAAGAAAAACAAGGTCTTTACGAAGAAGATTACGCCCGGGGAAAAACGTTGAAAAGTTTCTGTACGATGTGAACGTGGACATAATCTGGGTTGTCAAAATTTACCTGTCATTTTTTGTTCATACATTTTTTTCTTTGTGACATTTGTTGGAGAAAACAGTTGTAAAAGTGGCGGCGACTGGGAGCAACACACTTGCGATCACTCCGAATTCTAAACGGAATTTGGGTGAGTTTATATGCTTAATTCGATGCAATTCGCTACAACAACTTTAATAAACTTTCGAACTGTTCAGACCTAGTGAACACAACGTTGAAGCGAACACAAAACGCGCACGTTTTGTCACGTTGACACGAGTTTAAATACATTTCGGATTCAATTATTTCTCGCAAGCAAAATGCGAACGTCATATTTGTATTAACACTATTTAAAACTGCCAACAACGAAAATGCAAATATTCCTGTTGAATTAATTATATTATTTCATCCACCTCAGGTTTTACCAACATTGAATTTCCAAATACGACTTTAAACAGTGTACATTTGCATTATTATTGGAAATACTTAATAAATAAATCAATTTATTAATATTTGTAATTGTCGAACTAATTTTATACAAGTTTAAACAGATTTTAAATTCAATTATTTCTCAAGGCAACTTCGAATGTCAAATTCATATTATAGTGTTCAAACCGCCAACATCGAAAATACAAATGTTCCTATTATTTCATCCCCTTCCAAGTTTCACCAACATTGAATTTCTAAATATAACTATAAATCGATTAGATAGTAATGATTTTGAAATATAGAGTGTGTATTTAATATAAACAAAATTACAAAAATGTTGCTGTCATGACACAAAGCAAATTACTTTTTTTTAAGGGATTAAATATAATGTTCACCAAACGTTTGTTCAATTTATAAAAAGAACTGCTGTTGGTTTTGCTTTTACTTTAAATATATATAAACTATGTATATATATATATGTTACTATTACTATTACTATTTTTTATTTATTTTGGTGGTGGCACTAAGATTAATTATGTTGTTTCGAACTGGAATGGTAAAATAATAGTTTTTTTTTTAAATTTAAATATTTATTTTGGCAGCAATGTTTTCTGACGTTTTTTTTATTTATTTATTAATGACGTAAGTTAAATGCTGATATTTGTTGATGCAAGTGATTTAATATTAAATTTGGTAAGCAATTAGACATTTAGTTTTAGTTATTAATACAGAAAATGATGTAACGCAGTTAAAATTCCATATTAAATTTATTATTGAGTTTGTACTGAAAGCAATCATAATTTATTTTACAAGTATAGTGGAACCTCGCTTAACGAGCACCTCGCATAACGAACAAAATGAATTGTATGTAAAATGACTCGCTTAACGAGCAACGTTTCGCATAACGAGTGATGTGAAGAGAAGTCCCGAATTGCGCGTCTTCTACATCATTTTTAAAACTTGTGTACACGAGACCAAGTTATACTTTTTTTTTCTACGTCATGGAACGCATTAAGGTAATTTACATTAGTTTATATGGGAAAACGTGTTTCAATTTTGGAAAACTGATCGCTAATTACGTGTAAAACTAATTTTCCAAAGTACTTTGCAAACATCGCGCAACGAATAATTAGCTTAAGTTTTATTCAACTGAAAAACTTTTTTTTAATACGTGAAAAACTATATGAAACAATTAGCATATGAATAACGACTGAACTATCATGGAAGTTAATAATAACGAACCGATGTTCCTTTCTCACACTGTAATTACGGTCTAAATCCTCTAAAGCGTATTCCTTTTTATCTTCTCTTTTGCAGAAATAATAACGAAAGTTCTACATATAAAATTTATATGAGCGTATTTCATACTTCGCCGACCGACAATTTTTAAATTATTCATTAATTTATATCCTTCTACATTTTAATATGCATTAGTAATTTGCATGAATTATTTATTAACAGATCAAATCTTTCTGGTAATGTTTCTGAATGTTTCCAATTTAGAAAATTGTATATCATTAAAAGATTGTACAATTATTGTACCGTTTCTTACGCTTTGCAACACATAAAGACTTACAAATGACTTGAAATATGCTTAATATCATATAAATAAAAAGCTAAGCTTTTCTTTGATGTTTTAAATTATTAGAAAATAATTGTTTATATCATTTCGTTTATTGAGCTTTAATATTTATTGGTGTACAAAATCTTCATTGTAATTCGTATTGTAATTGGTTTGAAGCCGTGTCTGATTTTAATGAATGTTAACGAACAATCTGAGCACATTAATCTTCGTCAAAATCACGTTTAATTTTAACCGTATCAAAGTTTCGAACTCGACGCCCGCAATCCTTGACCGATCCAAAAAGTTTGTTTTTTTCTTTATTTGCATTTGACGATCGACTAGAAATGCCAGGAAAGCAGTAATTATTCATTTGTTTCTAAGACTTGACGACATACTACCATCAATACATAAAACACTCACTCTGCAGACGTCGCGATTAATATATAAAAACCCGAAGAGATTAAACAATTAAACTTTGGTTATTATTTCTGCAATTACGAAGATAAAAAAGAGCATATTAAAAGCGTAATTATAGTGTGAGAAAGTAACATCAGGTGAAGAACCAACATACAATTTAATTTGTACCAACAAAATGTTTAGGGTAATTATTTTATTAATTGGATCAAATTCCAAATAAATAATAGCACTCAATTAAATACGAATAAATATTATTTGCGTAAAGAGAAATAAATAAAAAGCTTTTTGTATAAAAATTTTACAAGTAAATATGTCAAATAAATAGAAAAAACTTCAGACGACAATGCTGCCAAAATAAATATTTAAATTTACAAAAAAAAAACTATTATTAAGTCACGACCCCAAACGCCGCTTCTAGATGAATGCGACTATTCTAGTTCGATATTTAATCAACACATAAGTCACCTATAAGTTCGCACTTCCAGTTTAGTAATGTTAACTCAATTTTGGTCCTAAAGCCTATAGGTTTTTGACCTTTCCCGTCCCACGGTTTTGGTCATGCTTTTATTGTCATTATATGTATCAAATATTATCTCGTATCCCGGCGCAGCCACAATTTTATTAAAGCTATATATTATATTTCCGCAATGAAAATCGATAAATGCTGCTGTATTTTTCCCATTAATATTCAAACTTTTTTCATAATATTTTTAATAAAGTTCGAATTTTACAAATTACATGAAATCGGCAATAGCTACAAAGATGACAGATAGCACGTTGGAAAGTGCTGAATATTTATCTTTATTTTGAGTGCTTATTTACAATTGTAATCGAGAAAATTGAAAGCTTGTAAAGACACTTTATACATTGTCTTTTTTCTCCTCAAGGACCAAATCTTTAGTAAATATATAATATATTTGAACTTCTATTATATATAAGTTATTCTTTGAAATCAAACAATAATAAAAGAGAATACTGTCAGTGTATGTGCGGGTTATGATATGTCCGAATATGAATATAAATATATGAATATGATATGTCCGAAGATGTTCATAAATAATGATAAGAGCAGAATTGATCGTGCTTTTACGCTGATTCGCATCCTTGCATACGCCCGTACGCTCTTTGTAAGATCATTTATTCTGAAGCTTTTCACTCCAAACAAGCATAAAAAAGCTTATATATGGTACAACAAAGCCGAGCGAACGTGATTCGAAGTGAATTCATATATTAAGTAGGCGCTTGAAAACAGAAAAAAAACAGCTACTTAGAACGTAAAATTTCATTTTAAAATACAAATATTTATTAGTTGATCTACAAAATGATAAATTGTATTTTTGTTGATTGATTGTTAACCTTATTGACCTCACGGATCAAACTCCAAATATTGAATCTTGCGGACCAGTAAACTCAAAAGTTTTAATCCCGACGATAAGATTCTAAATATGAAATAATATAAAAACGCCACTTAATAATGCGAAAATTGCAAAAATAATGGATTCAGAATATAATAAAAATGTAAATAATCTGTTGTCCATGGAAAGCCCATTTGACCGGTAAAGGTCCGCGGACCAGGGTTTGAGTACCACTGTACTACATAACTTATCATAGATTTCTGTATTTCGTATAGTTGCGTCTATTGTATCATCACTTAACAGCCTTTTTCCGCCCCTAAATATTTGGGTAGGATTATAAAACTTAGATAAAGAAACGGTTGTATATTCCACAAGTTCAAAACTGATTTCCATACTTCCCTCACAACCCCTCTTTGAAATTAACACATTTTTGTATTATATAATATAGTCTTAGTCAGGAGATCGAACTGAGAGGAAGTCTTAGTAAGAGGGTCCAACGAAGAACATGGTCTTACTTGGGAGAGTCCAAGGAAGAGCACTTACTTAAGAAATACTAACTTAAGAGGAGAATGTAACTCTTATTTAATAATCCATGAGATCAACTATTGTATTGTTGACTTCTCAATAAAAACACCGATGTATACAATAAAGTTAATTAAAAATATTTCATTTAATATTCATAAACCCCTCTAAGACTCCACAACTACGAGATAATCCACGATGTCCAATGATTTCTTAACCCCGGGACACGACAAACTATTTTCATATTTCAAAGTTTTGCACTGTACATTATGAATACAACACTTCCTAAATTGTAATTCTTCGCATAATTACTGATTACTTTCCATAAATTATTCGATTGCCAGCAGCAAACTTTACCGCAAAATCCGTAAAATTATGCCATTGAAATTGTGAACAATTTGTAATACGCTTCTTCTAAATTAATCGATTAACCGCACTATGCGAGGCATTCCTTTATAAATATATCAACTTAACAGAGTAAAGATGTTACGGTCGTTAAATACATTTTCTTGGAAATATAAGTTATGTTTTTTCTTATGTTATTGTTGAAGTAATCTCTTGCAATGCAGAGTTATAAATTGCAATTTAGTTTATGGCCGTAATTTCTGTAATGCGAGGGAGGTTTTTGCTAAAGCCGCGCTCCGGATTTTAATGCAATAAATCGATGAACTCGTAAAGTGCATCGGATGATGCATGCATTAGCGAAAATATGGAATTTTACCAGAATTTACGTGCATATCTGTAGCTAACTTCGCGATAATTGAATGTCAGCCGTAATCCGTGCAGGTCTGATAATCTATTTGCGAAACGTGGCCAAGAATCAACACGATTTTTAGCCATATCTTTGATACACATAGGGGGATT